ACACACTAGCACATGATGTAGGTAGTTACAAATCCAGGACTATCTGTTACTAACTCTGAAAGACTAACACGCTGATAATTTCTAGTTTTTAACGACTAACAGGCATAAATGGGGAAATGTGTATTTTACCACCTCCCTCAAATGGAGAGAACACTTTACAATTTTTAAAGATTTTAAACTATTTCAGATGCTGAAGGAAGAAAAAAAAAGTAGGTTTGTACAAACCAAGAAGCTGTACAACTGAATGAGAAGAAAAACCCAAAACAGCAGAGAAGTCATTACACGTTCCGGATGTACCTGGAAGGGATTTCTTAACCCACAATAAGCCAAATAAATATGATGGTTTGCTCACCCCCAAATGCTCTTTCTCTAGAGTAAAACCAAAACCATCTCCTGCAAGCAGCCCTTACTCTCACCCCGTCACAGCGCGCTGGGTAGCTTTTTGGTTGGGGCAAACGGGTGGATCAGGCTTTCCAGTGCAGATAAATGTGCTAGAGAAGAGAAGGTGATCTATCCTGTCTTGGTCACCCTGTGCTTCACACCGGTCACCGAGGGGACAGTTTACTCTTCCCAGAGAAGCACAACCATAGCGGCCCAAATCAGTCCAAACTGAGAGGACTGGCCAGTGAATCTTTGTAGACACCAGGACTGACCACTGCACAGTGGGCCCCCTGGCTCAACACTTACTCTGTACCAGTAGACTTCAATAATCCTATAGAAGTATTTATGGCATAGAAAACTGAGCAGACAGCTTAAAGTACAGGACCTAAAAAGTCTCTCAAACATTTAGCCGGGTACAAAACCATTTTTAATATGTTCAAAGCTTCTTTCTATGTCCAATGAATGGTACTTCTTTCTGAGTGATAACATCAGGCTCAGCGGTTAGACTCAGAGCTTCACAGCCTGCTTTGAATCCCACCTCTGCCGTTCCCAACAGCAGAACCTAAGCACGCCACTGAACTCACCCGTGCTGATTTCCTAGTTCACATGTTAGAAATAAGCCTCAGAAAAATCAGAGTGAGGGTTACGTAAACTCGGAGGTCAGATGATTAAGTTAGAGCCTAGAAACCGGTATGCATACATTTAATTGAGCGCTGATATCATCAGCGTTGTAATAATTGTCAGGAAAATTCCCATCGTTATCTAATCGTATTTAATTGAGTTCATTAACAAAACAAAACAGAGCTGGGGATCTAGTCCAGCGGTAGAGCACTTGCCTAGCATGCTCATGGCCAGGCTGGTGTTCTGGAGTTCAATCCTTACTATCACCATCAACACCACCACCATCCATACTCTGAAGGAAGCACCGTACTTGAGTTTGACTTATTCTGGGATCATATATAAATTTTCATATTTGACAAGTGAAATGGAGGTACCCCAATGGTTTAACTGTATTCTGATACTCAGTTTAAAGTTTTTTTTTTTTTAATGTTATTTTTACTCTGGGTCTGACTTTCTGTTTGGTTTTCTAAAAGGATTTATCGAAAACCCCACATCGGCTGGAAGACTGCTGCCAGGTACCTTTCCACCCAAGAGTGGGAGGAGACAGTGGCATCCATTGGTTTTAGTTTGCAGATACACAAATGCTCCATTGTACAGCGGAGGACCCAAAGGCCCCTGGGGTTCTTTCCTCCCTTTAACTCAGCGGTGTTATATTTCCTATCCACCCTCCCCAAACACCTCCCAATTTATGGAGACTCTACAAATAAGTTCCAGTTGCTAATTTTTAAACACAACACTGCATGGCTCAAGTCTTCTGTCTTAGCTCAGCTAGCCACCACAAACACCACAGACTGGACGGCCCAAGCATCAGGGACTTATTTCCTCTTCATTCTAGAGGCTGAGGTGTCCAAGACCAAGATGTCAGCTAAGTTGCTTGCCAGCAAGAGCCTCTTCCTGGTTTCAAAATGGCCCCTTGCTCCTGCATCTCACAAAGCAGAGATACAGCTCTGGCATTTCTTACTCTTCCTGTAAGTCAGTTTGGCCTAGGGTCTCTTATCTTTATCTTAATTGTGAGACCTCCTCACAGGCCCTGGCTCCAAAGTTAGGGCTGTCACTTTTAAATTTGGGGCAACACAAGCCTCCAGTCCACAGAAGTCTTCTAACCACACAGAAATAAAACTTAAATTCAAACCCATAATGGTGGCATTTTCTTCTATTCGCATGTAGAAAACTATCTGTAAGTAGGCATGGTGGCATATGCCTGTACCCAAAGCACTCAGAAGGCAGAGGCAGGAGGATTGCTGCAAGTTCAGGGACAGCCTAGGCTACGCAGCAAGTTCCAGATGAGCCAGTGAAACAGAGTGAAACCCTGTCTCAACAACAACAACAAAACAAGTAAAATATGATTTTGTTTTATAAAGTCAGACTGAAAATGTAAATACATAGTAGGTTACCAAGGTCACCTGGATTCAATTTCTAGCGCCAATATAAAATAAAAATAAACAAAATTTTAAACTAACAGATCCACATCTCTCTTAAGACACAATATATATATAACACATGGTAAAGGGACTTTTAAAAAGAACCAATCGCCTCCATAAAAAATTCCATCTGCTTAAATAGATTTTGGGCAGGGACCCAACTTCTAAAACCATGTGTGTGTAAGTGTGCAAGCATCATATTGCTCAGATAATTATTCGAGTAGCAGCCACTTCTCAAAAAAACTAGGTGAATTAGTTCGGTATCATCCCTAGTAAAAACATGCCTGCAAAAGCTATTGGATCCCAAGATTCTGAAACCCTTCCTCTTGGTAAGTGTCTGTGCCAACGGAGGAGAAATACTTGCCAGGCCTGGCAGCTCTGTGGTGCCAGAATGACACCAGAACACAGGGCCCCTAACTTCAGGCCAGGGTGCCAGTGACTACAGCTCCATATGGAACCAGGGCCCAGGTGTTCCATCAAAGCAGGAAGGGAGTGCTCAAGCCCTGGCAACTGCCAAGAGTCCCCACCAGGCAGCAGCAATGAGGACCAGAACTCAGATCTCCCTCTTGGTAGATGCCTAGTGGTGGCAATATCGAAAAAAAAAAAAAAAAAAGGACTACTGCTTCCAGACACATCTCTTCTATTTTTCCTCCCAAATGATGACACTTAGTGGGGACATGCTTCTCTGTCCATTCAGTTCCCCTGGGGATGGACATTAGCTACCAATCCCTCTTCCACATCATCTGGGGTCTGCTCCTCCACCCTTATGAGCCTGATATTAACCACATGCTTGGGCATAGCGGCCTCCTCATGCTGGCAGCTTTGAGATAGAACCCTGCAAAACAAACCTAAAAAACACTAACTGCAGTGCAGTAAAGAGGTCCCCCTGGGATCCAGCTGGCTTTACCGACTCTCTATGAAGCGTTCTCACATGTGAACACACCACTTTTAGAGGCACATTTTTTAAAACATTCAATAGTAATCACTATTTTTTTTTAAACAAGGGATCTATCCAATATGCCTTTAATTTGCTCAAGGCTGTTTCTGTAGAAATAAGGGGTGTTCCCTGCGGGGAGCTCTCGGTTCGCTGGGGTGACTAAGCAGGCTTTTCGTCTTAGTCTATGAAATGGATGAATTTCGCACTTGCTGTTCCGGCTCATAACACAAAGCAATGTGCACATCTGCCAAACTGAGTAAAGCTCTTAACAGCCGTTCTTGGTGCTATCAAATTTCAGCCTGATTCGACTTTAAAACTAGAACGTCTGAAATCCAACCCAAGGTAAACGAAAGTTCACATTAGAAAAGTTTTAACTTTTTAGTTGCTGTTTCTACCCTTAAAACTGTCTTTCAGTGAAATTCAAAAGAAAAAAAAATCCCTTTCTATGTGATGGGGGTACATTATGAACCTTCAAAATAAAAAACACTACAGTATATTAAGTACTTAGCAATTTGTTAAAGTTTTATTAAATTTATGTATTATGTGTGTGACAGAGAAAGAGAACACACATGCCAGTGTGTATGTGTGGAGGTCAGAAGATAACTTGTGGGAGTTAGTTCTCTTTCTATACTCGGGTCATCAGGCTTGGCAACCAACACCCTGAGGTATCTTACGTGTGTGTGTGTGTGTGTGTGTGTGTGTGTGTGTACATATATATGTAATTATGTATGTACATATACACATATATACACACATGCATATACACACATACACATATATATGTAGATAGATAGATAGATAGATAGATAGATAGATAGATAGATAGATAGATGATAGATGGATGGATGTTTCCCAGGTGGGGCTTGACCATGCAATCCTCCTGCCTCTACCTTCCAAGTAAATTATACAGGTACCCCACCACACCTAGTTAAAAAAAATTAATAAAACAACTTTTGTGTTCCTGCTTGCTTCCTGTAGCTATGATAAACACCATGACTTAACTCAACTTGAGGAGGAAAGGATGTATTTCCTCTTAAACTTCCAGGTCATAGTCCGGAACTGAGGAAAGTCAAGACAAGAACCCAAGGCAGGGAGTGAGGCAGAGGGACTGAAGGAGGCTGCTTTCTGGTCTGCTCCAGGTTGATGTTCAGCTACCTTTCCTTTCCTGACCAGGCCAACCTGCCTCAGTGGCACTGCCCATGGTGTACTGGTCCCTCCCATATCAATTAGCAGCCCAGAAAACGCTCTAGACATACCCTCAAGCCAACGGATGGAGGAAATTGCTTAACTGAGGCTCCTCCTTTCCAGGTGTGTCAAACTGACAATCAAGATTAGCACAATGTGTACCACAGCTAGCCCTTTGCACAGTTACCCAGGCTTTGGGATAGCCCGGACGCTTAGGCACATCAGTACACTCCTCAACGATGACGCTTGGCACTGCTCAACGGTAAGGGCTGTGCCGTCTCCTCAGACTCCCCATCTCTCCTGTTGGACCACAAACGGCTAGCTGCATTAGTGACATAACGCATTAGTTATAAAACCAGATGGTCTTTCTGCTTTCTGCCAAGCCTAATTTTAATTGCAAAACATTTGTCAAGTGCTACATAAAGAGTGTAGTTGAGTAGTTACTTTATTCTTACCAGAGCTGGACACACGCTTGATCCTCTGAGGTGATAAGGCCCTGTCAGAGCCTAGGGTTCTACTGTCATTCTTCCTCCTCAGGCAGGAAGCAGCAGGCCCCACTTTGGCTTTCAGACCTGGTGCCTTCCTCAGGCTGCAAGAGTCTGGCTTGGAACTGCTCCTCCCTGAGGTGGTGGAAGTCTTGGGTGCAGAGCCCTGTGAGAAAACCAGTTAAGATTTCAGTCTCACCATGCTTTGCCCCATTCCATCCCTGAGGCATCAGCTCTGAGAGAAACCCTCTGTCTTGGTGGTTGTACCAATGTAATATTTAGCATTTTTACTATGAACAATTAAGATTCCTGGAAGCTGACTTCGATGACTCTGATAAACCTTCAGGCCCTTTAGTAGAACTGATCTCCGGTGCCTGAGCCGAGTTCAGCAATACCGTTCAGTCCTCCGGTGTGGGCACTCAGCTAGTTGCCCCTCTAGCTGTCTGGTTATTCCTTCCCTGGGGCTCATTCTTTGATACCTTTCAAGGTTAGTCTTAACCAGGGCTTCAACTTGGTCTTGTTATCTTCCCTCACCATGAACTCACTCAGCAAGAACTTGTCTTCCTGTTTTAACCATGATTGATGACTACATTTCCAAGCCAACACTCTCCCCAATTCAGCTGCCCCTGCATCTCCCTGCATCACTGAGATCTTTCTACTCAATAACAACTATTCTATTATTGTTGGCAATTCACAAACTCAGAGCCCTTATACTACACTACATAAAAGACCATTTTAAATTTTCATTTTTAGCTAGCTTGCAAAATAATGATGTTGTAGGTCTTATAAAATATGGCAGCTTTACACATATACAGCTTTATTTTCTTTATATTAAACCCTTCACTACCCCTTATCCATCTTCCCAACTCTTGCCTCCTAAATATGCCTTCTACTTTTATGTCACATCTATGTGTGCACATGTACACATACGCCTCCATATAGATACTTAATCTAGCATACATGAGACAAATGATTTTTTTGTCTCTTTTTGTATCCCTTTTGTTCCTGATTTTTCCTTTTCTTAGACCTCTTCTTTGTTTTCTATTTTCATGAACACACACATATTTATATGTATGTATACACACACACACACGCACACACACACAAAGAAATGACAGGCAGAAAGACAGACTGATTCAGCATATGAAAGAAATGATGTGTTTGAGTCTGACTTACTTAACATGATTTCTAGTTCCATTCTTCCTCCTCTAAATGACATCATTTCATTCATTCTTACAGATTAATGAGGTTTCTTTGTGTACCTGTAGCACTGCTTTAATCGGCTCATCTGCTGACCAGCGCCTGGGCTTGTCCCCTATCTGGACACTGTGGACACTGAAGCAGTAAACATGGTGTGGTTATCCCTGTGGTAAGGCTGACTTGGATTCCTCCAACTGTCACTCCAGGAGAAGTATAGGTAGGCCTATGGCGGCTCTCCATTCTAAAATCTAAATGTGTGTATCAACTCATTTAAATCTGTCTAATAGTCCAGTAAGGTTATCTGTCATACTCCATTTTCATGAATGACATGAGAACACTTTTTAAGAAATTAAGCGTTTTACCTATCTCACAATTTATACCTGTCTCCTATTAACATACCCAGCTGCCCATCTTAAATAAGAAAAGCAATTGTGTGTCTTTGCTGCTTTTCTTGCCTCTTAATCTCATTTTTCTACCTGCCTTCTTATAAAAGCCAGCCTCCTTTCTCAAAATGATTATTGAAGTCATGACCTTGGGGCTTGTCTGGTCTCCCCAGCCTCTGCTCCTTCTTAGACTCCCCTACTACAAAAACCTTCCTCAAATTCATTGAGACTGTCACTGTCTGCTTGCTTTCCCATCTCCCACCACAGCCTCTACTTTTACCTGGCATCCCCTGCATCAGAATATATCCCTACATTCTTCGTTTTTATACTTGGTGTTTTCGCAGTCCAGAATGCAAGCCCAGTATGCTATGGCGTGAGACTAAATGGCATTGCCATTCCAAGCTTCCCTTGATAATCCTCCCAACTACCCTTTCCTCTCCAGCAACACGGCAAGCCATTCACTCATCATTCAGTACTTAGCCTGGCCCTATGGCTTGTTTTCTGACAGTCACAGTGCATTAGATAAAACATCGGACCATAGCTGTCTTTCTTGATACCCTAACAAGTGCTACCATATATGGCATACACAATACATGCCCAACTAGTGTTTGCACTGTAGATATAAGGAAACAGGAGCCTGAATCTTACTCCCAATACAAATTCTAACACTATAAACTAGTTACCTTCTCCCTTTACATAGAGAAGAACAGAGCCTGATAGAAAAGCCAAAAATAGAGCCACAAACTTAAGGTTATCCAAAATCTATGCTCAGGCTTGGATATTCCCTTCCATGCGCGCTCCTCCTTCATTTAGTTATAGGTTACTGTTTTATGTATTATTCTCTCTCTCATAAATAAATAAAAAAATATATATATATACATACATACATACACACACACACACACACACACACACATATATATATTCTCCTAACACCAGTATCTGTTGAATTCATATACTAGGTGGTAGGTGGAGGTCACTACTAATCCAATAGCTAGTGTTCCAAGAGAACAGCTGCAGGTCACACTGACACTAAAGCAAGACAGAATCTTCTAGAAAAACTTTCTTGTAAAAAGTAAACCAAACCTCAACCTATGGGAGTGATTCTCCCACAAATCACTTGTTTTACCTACAGGACCCATATTCTGAAAATTGCGAACTCTGTGAAACATTCGGGACCCGAGTTTGAATATCCAACAGCTGTGTGAGATTTTTTTTAATTTAGATGTATTTTATTTATGAGTGCACTATCTGCATGTACATTTGCATGCCAGAAGAGGGCATCAGATCCTATTATAGATGGTTGTGAGCCACCATGTGGTTGCTGGGGATTGAACTCAGGATCTCCGAGTGCTCTCAACTCCTGAGCCATCTTCTCTAGCCTGTGTGAGTTTCCAAATAGAGCCTCTGAAGCATGAACATGTGGATAACAATTGCCTTGCTGTGGCAAACAAACAACAAACAAACAATACAATGTACATGAGCCCTGATCATTACCGAGACAATTAAATACCAGCCTCTAAGGAAGGTACCTGAGCCACGGTTCCTTTCAGCTCCTTCATGGAGTTATCTTGACCACATAGCCTCTGCAGTGGGCAGTGACTTTTCACCCTTATTGCAGTCCAAGTCAAATCACTTCTCCCAAATACAAACTTTTCTTAAAGTTTCAGTCTTGTATAAATTAACTAAGGACTAAAATCTACAGAGTATACAAGAAAACAAACAAAAAGCAAAAAACGGAAACCATTCTTCTGTGGCAGATAGAGCTCTTAGGTACTACTCAAGTGGCCAACAGAAAAGGCAATGTGAGCTCACCTGTTTAGCAATAACAAGAAGCCATAGCCTGTAGCTATGATGGTTGGTCTAGCCTCTTCACCACTCTCTTAAGAAAGGGAGAAAAAAAAAGCATGGGAGTCGAATTAAACAAATACTCTGCTGTATTTAAGACACAGTCACAGAAGCATTGCCTATATTCTAGGTGATAAGTAAAATCGCCAGTGATGACACCATGGGGCCCAAGGGATGGCCTTACAGCCTTACAAAGCACCTCATATCTGACTCTGAGCTCTCGATGCAACACAGCACTGCTAGGTGCATGTTGGAATCCATCTTACCAGACAATTCCATGGTCTTACTTCAATACCACACATCACGGTACCAGAGCTACCAAGTTGGAAAATACAAGGAAACAAAACAAAACCAAAACTCTGCAGGTTTCAGAACTACAGGAGCAATTATACTCAAGACCAATGCTCAAGGAACGTCATGCTAGTTTTTCCTGAGTGACAGCCAGGAAACATCTCTCATAAAACTAGACGTGGTGGTGCATAATCAATCTTAGCACTAAGGATGCTAATTGAGAAGACCTCAGCTTCAAGGCCAGCCTGGGGTACTGTGTGCTGAATTCAAAGCCAACTATGGCTGCATGTGGATATCCAGTCTCACACCAACAACAAATTTTCCATGCAATGAAAAAATATCTAAGCCGGGCGGTGATGGCGCACGCCTTTAATCCCAGCACTCAGGAGGCAGAGGCAGGTGGTTTTCTGAGTTCGAGGCCAGCCTGGTCTACAAAGTGAGTTCCAGGACAGCCAGGGCTACACAGAGAAATCCTGTCTCGAAAAACAAAAACAAAACAAAAAAAGAAAAAAATATCTAAAGCAATGAAAAGAAATATCTTGATTCTATGTAGGTCTATAAACACCTAAGGCTACCAATTACATTTAAGAGTTTACTGTAATTTTATTTACTCAAATATTAAGATTCTAAATGATCAGCTTCCCCAGTTAGACACAAAGAACTTGAAAGATCGGTGTCATGAAACAAATTATACAAGCCCATTAGCTTAGAAATCCCTAAAGCCAAGACATCTGTAAGCTGACCCAAGTCATTTTCTTATCATTGAGAAGATACCTTCATGACCTACTACGTAACCTGAAAAAAAAAATAGCCTTATGTACCTGACAGTGCTGTTTCATTCCTCCTACACAAGAGTCCCCCAAAGTCAGGCTGTGTGTTACATCTGCCTTCCTCCTCTGCACTCAGATCCATTCCCGGGCCAGAGGACAAGCATTTCAAGGGCAGTCTGTGCAGGGCTGAAAATACACCTTGGTCTCCATTGCCAAAAATAGAGCTGAGGACACACAGGCAGCCCCAACAGCAGCCCAGCGAATGTTTGGAAAACTACTTATTATTATACAATTGTCAAAAAACAAACAAACAGCAACAACCATGTGCATGTTTAAAAGAAAAATAACCCATGAACTGCACACAGTGCACCATTTTTTTTAAGTGACTAACGAGTCTCTCCTCCTCAGGATTTGTCAGGTACTGTTGCAGACATACTGCTTTGTTTACAATGTAAGGACTTTTGTTTCTTTCATGCATCAGAAACCAATGCATGTGACCTACAGATGACCTTACAGACCCACTGCCCAATCCTTTCCCTTCTGGTTGTGGCCATGTCACAGAGCTGGTCAGAAGTAGACTCAAGTCTTGAAAAGAGGCTTGGCTTCCTGGATTTCTATGTTGCTGTGTTTACCAGCTCTGCCTAGCCATTTCTTAAATGTGTCACGGTATGTTTGAATCCTTAAAGCTCCTTTGTTTTTGTTTTTTTCATTTTAGAAAAACACAGAACCTGATTACATCAGTTATTTCACTTCAAATATCAAAATATATTAAAAAAATATTAATTTACTTTTTAAAAACCCTATCAAAAGGAATATTCACGTTCAACAAAATACCGAATCTGAGGGTTTTTTTTTTAAATATGTAAGTTTGTTATATTTTGACTCATTTTTTGACACTCTATACTGCTTGGCAGGACAAAGAATAGCTGACTACAAATTACAAACCAGGTTCAGTGATATTATTAGCAATTACAGGCCACTCATTGCTAATACACCAGTTATCTTCACCGTTCCTAAAAGCAGATGGCAGAGCTCACTTACCAGAAACAGAGACTTGGATTCAAAAGTCTCATTCATGCCTTGCTTCTCCAGCTCTTGCTTTTCCATTGGAGCCTCACAGTCCTGCTCACCCTTCTCAGGGCTAATCTGATCGATGTGGGAAACACAAGTTACCTCCAAACACTCTGAGCTTTTCATTTTAACGGGGAGAATGCCTTTGATCTTCTGGAAGAAGGCAGCTACAGACCCGGTCTCACTCCCTGCATGAGGAGAACCTGTCTTGTCAACATCCTCCCGGTTCAGTTTCTCGGCAGATGTTGTTCTTGGAACTCTGAGCAAAACATTTTTAGAATGAGTTGTAACTTGTGCGGCCTGGCTGGTAATGAGTTTATTAAACTGTTGCTTGTGTGTCTTGTTAATTGGGATTTCTGGCTTTTTGTCTGCTTTAAAATCAGATCTTGGTGTTTTGTTCATAATTGTCAACTGTTTAGAAGGCACCGTTGAGGCTGAGGAGCCCCCTGGAACCTGAGAGTTGGGTGTGTCCTTCATTAGGGAAGTGTCTTTGGGTTGCAATGCTGATCTGGATATAACTTTGGCTTTAATATTTTTGAAGTTTGGTCTGGGATAACTTATAATTTCTGTCTTCCTAACTTTACTGCCTACAGTGGTATTTGTTTTGGTAGCCGATTTTCCCAGATTAGGTTTTGACATATTTGTCAGGTCTCCCTTCAAGTTTGGTGCATTTCTAGCATTTCTTGGTCCGTTTTCCACATTACTGTACTTCTTCGTCCCTTCAACATGTAGAAGTGTGACGCTCACATTGAGGGGTTGCTTAACTGGTGCTGACACGCAAGCTGGATTATCTGTGCTAATGGCTCTGCCACGGTCATCCCAACCCATTTCATACGATGAAACCCTCTGCCCTGGAACACTTCTCTGGGTCAGCTCTTCAGTACTACTTTGGATGTCTGAGTCGTTGTCATGGGAATCAATGTGTGGGTCTTCAGCCACAGTGACTCTACACTCAGAGTCCAGGACTCTGGTTTTACTCTTATCAAAAGCTGGCACCAGTACTGGGCATTCACTATCAACATGACAGTCGGACAGTGTTCCTCTTAGATTTTGGCCCATTTCCTGTTGAGCATACGAGCTGTGTGAATGTGTCTCACTGTTTGGGTCATCTTCAGATACACAATAGAACTCCTGTAATACAGACCCATTGGGGACCTCCATGCCATCAGAAACCAGTGTCACAGCTTGTATCTCTTTTTCTCCAACCAGTCCTTGCCCCATCCCATCTGTGTTCTCTTTGGTGACATTTCCTAAAGAATACTGACACTGAATTCCAAGGTCTGGACTCTCAGTTTGCATCAGCACATCAGAAATCACTGAAGAGGCTGTGTTTAGGGTCTTTGAAGGTGTGGCTTGAAGGTTTTCAAAGTTCTCTCTATTATCACTAATCTTTCTCACACATATCTTAGGTGGTAGCCGATCGGAGCCAGACAATGCATTTCTGCCTCTCACTGTTGGCTGCAGACCTCCAGGAGCGTGTAAAAGCTGACCCTGTTCAATAGCCCGGTGTCCTATAAAGGTGGTGTTAACTGTGTCCACTCTCACGTCATATGTTTGTTTTAGCTCCGAGGTTTCGGGGGAATCTCCACAAGCGTAATGGTTGTCAGACTCGCACTCACAGAGTTTCGAGGGAGCAAACCTCTCATCCTGGACTGCCTCTAGGGAATCCAAGTCACTGTGCGGGTCCGCGGGCTTCCCTGTGTTCACAAGCGCAAGAGACTGGCAGCTAAGCTCACTATACATTGCAAATTCATGCTTCCCCATGAAGTCGCTTGAAGGCTCTGGGTAAGCAAGGGCTTCAACACACTGATGGCTTAAGGAGACACTTTCACTACTGTCCACTGCAGGATCCATTTCATAATCGACCACCATGTCATCTGGGTTGGCAGAGTTCCAATCCCTGTGACTCACTGAAGGGCACTGGGTGGATGGTGATGTTTTGTAGTATTCAGATGGATTTGAGTTTTTATCACGGATAAATACATAATGCGATCCTTCTTCTGCCCTATCTGAATTATCATCATTCATCCTGAATAGTAACCTTAAAACTCTGCCATTTTGTCTTCCCTTCAAATTCCTTTTAAATGCGAGTAAATGAAAGATGGTCCGGCTGCTCCCCTTTCTATTGCTTTAAGCCCAGTTCCACGACTGTACTTTTAGATGCTCTGAAGTTGAAATGATTTGTTGGTCCCTGGAAGAAACAAAACAGTAAACTCAAAGGTTAGAAAAATTTACAGCTCACCCCTTAGTTAATTTAGATCACTGTTTCCACACTAACAGCTTATGACACTGAATGGGGGAGGGGAGACTTACTACATCCACTAATCTGCCACTCTCTTTCAAAGAAACCTTTTGGTGTGTAAAGGAATGGAGCATGATGATATGGAAATGCAGATCAAGTTTTCTACTGATGTCATGGCTGACATCTCCCTTCCTGACTCCCAGAGATATCTCAGGGAGAACGGAACTCAGTGTGCAACCGCCTTTCCTTCTTACTGGTCAACAGTGAAACCATTCACCCTAGTTTCCCTTGGCAGTCCCAATTTATGTCCATTGTCCCAGCATAATTCCTAAGTGTCCCTCTCACTGCCAGAGGGGCTCCTACTCTGCGTGATTACCAGGGAGACCAACAAATAGCCTCTGTTAGAGATTCCTCAAAATGTGGACAAAGTCACTATGTGCTGAACTGTATAACAGTTCCAAATAAATGGATACACTGAAGCCAACCCCATCCCTCAGGTACGACTATATAATGGAGACTAAGTCTGAAAACAGGTCTTTATGGAGGTGAGAAGTGTTTAATAATAGCATAAGAGAAGAGGACTACTTATCCAGCAGAATTGCTACCCTCCTGAGAAGAGATACCTGAAGGTTCTCCCCTTCCCCTTAGGACACCCTAAAAACAAAGGCACTCAGAGCGTCACAGAAGCACTATTTACAATAGCTGAAGAGTAAGGGTGGGGGGAAACCCACACCCATCAACTGATAAATGGTTAAAAAAATTCTACATTTATATTCAGAATACTCTTCAGCACAAAAAAAAGATGAAAAAAAGTTTCATTAGATACATGGATACAGTGTTGCAACAGGAAAATATTACACTAAGAGAAAGAAGTTATTCAAAAGACTATTAAGATAACTATCTTTACAAAAATGTCCAGAAAATGCAAAACTATAGACAAAGTACACTGGAGATTTGTGTGGGAAAGGACAGAGGGGGACAATGTTTTTTAGGGGGTAGCAAAATGTTCTAAACTAATGTTGCTCCCAGTTTTACATTGCCATAAACAAACTCAAAATAACTCAATCGTGTAATTAACAGCAAACTTTTAGAACTTCCAGAAAGATCTCAGATCTGGGCTGTAGAAATGGCTAAGAAGGTAAAGGTGTTTGCTGTGGGACTGGAGCTCAGGGCCCAGAGCCCACGTTAAGGTGGAAGGAGTGAGCTGACCCCACAAAGCTGTCCTTAGGAATGCAGTGCTCAGCCAGGCAGTGGTCAGCTGGGCAGTGGTGGCGCACGCCTTTAATCCCAGCACTTGGGAGGCAGAAGCAGGCGGATTTCTGAGTTCGAGGCCAGCCTGCTCTACAGAGTGAGTTCCAGGACAGCCCGAGCTATAAGAGAAACCCTGTCTCGAAAAACAAAAAACAAAAAACAAAAATTTGCAGTGCTCACACTTATGCCACGGTGCAGGGGGCACACGCTCTGAATCTCTCTCCTCACTTTCATACCCTCTTCCCCTCTCTCTCTCTTTTAAAATTTAAAGATTTAAAATCCAGGGTTTTCTTTTTAACAAATAAAATTGATTAAAAGTCTAATATGGAGACTTTGAGAATGTGTGTCCTCGCCCCACTTCCAGCTGACTCTCTCTACTTCCTGTGTGTGACAAAATGTTCCCTCTTGGTTTCCAACTGTGTCTGCTGCTGTGCCTCCCTGCCATTATGGGCTCTCTGGCTAGAACTGTAAACCACAATAAATCTTCTGATGTCATGGTGCTGAGTTCTGAGTGAAATATCTGATGGGGACGATGACACTGAGTGTGTGATCTATAAATTCTGAATTAAGAGCAGATCTGATCTCCCCACTTTGTCATCTATTGCTCCATATGCAAACTCCACTGACTCGATTAAAAGTCACAATAGGAACCATGGAGTACCCAATGGCTCCAGTATTGTTACTATCACTAACAGTTGTGTGTTTTTTGATCATGCACCCTGAAATTAGCATCCGCTGGTGCAAAGGGAGGGTGGAATATTTATCTTCATAGTATGTGTGCACATATGTATGGATTGACAGCATGTGTGCACATATGTATGCATCCACACAGACACACATACTCTAAACTCACATGCTCAGGGTTCTGAATCCTACAATGAGAGCTGCATAATTTATATATTTACTGTAAATTAGTCAAGTCCTTCGCTAACCCTTAGTTAAAAGAGATCGCTAAAAAGATTTTAAAGATCTTTAAAGTTTTTATGAAGTACAAATTATCATTTTATTACATGGATTTACTGTGTATGTGTGTGGGCTGGAGTTTTTGCCATGGCACTTCCTGGAGGTCGGAGGACAACTTATGACAGTTGCTTCTCTCCTTCCACAGTGAGGGTCCCAGGTCTCAAACTCAAGTCATCAGGCTTGGTGGCCAGTTATCCTGCTAATCACAGAGATTAGCACTTTTAACCCATTATAAAATACATTCAAGCTAAATTTTTAAATCAAGAACATTTACCCATTTTTCAGGAGCACCAAAAGATGTACCTTTCTGCTTCTTGAAGGGTAGTGATTGTTTAAAAAATATGACAAGAGGAGTCATTTTCTGTCATTTACTTTTCTGTTGCTGTGATAAAATATCATAACCAAAAGCAACTTCAAGAAGGTTTATTATGGCTTAAAATTCTACAGGGAAGGTCCATAATGGCAGGGAGGACATGGCAGCGGGCAGCTAGAGTTGGAAACTGAGAGAAAACATTTTGCCACACAGAGGAAGCAGAGAGAGTCAACTGGAAGTGGGGTGAGGACACAAATTCTCAAAATCACCACTCTCCCCCACCTGTGACACCTCCAACACCTCCTTAGAGTTCATTAACTTCCTCCAAACAGTGCCACCATGTGGGGACAAAATGTTCAAATATTTAAACCTATGGGGGACATTTCATTCAAATCAGCAGTGGTTAAAGAGAAAGTAGGGGGTGAGGGGGTGATAACAAAGGCAAATAAGAACAAATAGGATACAGACGTATGAAAGTCCCACAGGAAAACCCATTATTTTGTAGGCTAACAAGAAAAGAAAGAACAAAGAAAAGAAAGAAATGCCTGCCTGGGCAGGGGTAGGAAAGAAAGGCGGATGCATGGAGGGATGGAGAGAATAAGTAATCTGTAGATATAATCAAAACTGCTCTGCCAGGATAAGCCTCATTAGCATGATCATAGAAGTTATGTGCCTACACGAACAGGGTCACTAAATTCAATTCATGAATTTTTATTACTCAATTGCTCTTTTCCAGAGTACATAAAAAGATGATTTCATTAAAAATATTTTTAAAAGATATATACTTAATTAATGGTTCAAATTGCAAAATTAAGTTATTCTGAAAAGATCCTAACTACTGGAGAAGTTAGGGCACCAGTCTCACGTTGTATATTATTTAAATGGTTGCCAGTCTTTCTCTTCTAGCATGTCACTGAATTAGATGTCTTCACCATCTTTGACTTCTCATCAACTCCTCTGGAACTATTTTCTGGTAATAAAAGTAATATTAAAGTCAAAGAACAAGGCTATAATGTAAGACTAGTCATGGTGAGTCAGCTCTGGGGGGTGGGGGTTGTCACTTTTTTGTTTTTTTGGGGGGGGTGGAGTGGGGAGTTGTTTTATTTTTTCAAGACAGGGTTTCTCTGTGTACCCCTGGCCATCTTGGAGCTTGTTCTGTAGACCAGGTTACCCTCAAACTCAGAGATCTACTTGCCTCTGCCTCCCCAGTTCTGGGATTAAAGGCATTGCCACTACTACCCGGTATCAGTACTCTTTATAATACACACATTCATATGTATGAATAATAGGCATATGCTCTGACTTGTGCATTTAGTTTGTCTGATGCTATTCACAATAGGACATAATGCCCTTGAAGTGCCTTGACTGTGAAGATAAAGCCATGGACAGGACAAGGTTAAGCATCCTTCCCTCAGGAGGTAGTTAAAAGTGGAAGGCAGCTCAGTCCATAAAGTGCTTGTCTTGGGAGCACAGGGACCCTACTTCAATCCTAGAGGTCATTTAAAAAAAAAAAAAAGGGTAGTGGTGGAGAGAGGCTGGGGGGAAGGGGAGGGGAGGGGAGGGAAGAGCAAGGTATGGCTCTGGAAAGGAAGGAGGGGGAGGATCCATTAAATGCCTAGCCACTTTGGCCTAATAGAAGGGAGTTCCAAGGAAAGTAAGAACCCTAGATAGTTTTGAGTTTAAAAACCACCACCACTAAACAAAAGTAAAAATGACTAAGGAAAAACATGCAAGTATATCCTCTGACTTCAAAATACACATGCACACAGGCACATTTACACACACTGGCATTCACACATGCATGCACGCAGGCACACAGACACTCAAGTTCACTTATATACTCCTATGCATGCACACAGGCATACTGTCTCAGGACCAATTTCATGCCTCCAGACTTTTAGAAATTCCACCTAAAAGTCACCCACTATGTGCTAGTCACATATTCTATGACCTTAGCTCACCTGACTCAGTCTTCATATACCTACCATTACAATATAATTTGCCTCAATTTTAAAGAAGCCCCAAAGTTACTGTCTTGCAAACATTTTTTTTAAATCAAAATGAAATTTTAAACAGAATTAAAACAGAGAAGAAGGGGGGGACCTTGGCAGCAAATCATTCTTACCCCAGGGGAATGGTCTCAAGTTCATTCAGTAGCTCTGCCTAGCAGAGCAAAGCACTATGATCAAGTTCCCTTTTGAAAGAGAATTATCTGGAAGGAGAGATCTTCTCTGAGCATGACTTGGGCAAGACAAAACAAATTCCTCACTCATTACGATTTGGGAATACAATAGGCAGTTCATCCAGAATTTTTTTTTTAAAAAAATAAATACACATTCTAGAAACTTTTAAGTCAAGAGTTTGACAATCTAGCCACCAGGCAGGAAGATTGTGCATTCAAGTATGACTACATACTGTGATC